TATTTTTTTTTCATATAAAATTATATATTTTTTTAATATTTTCTTCTTAACTTTTAAGAAAATCTTAAAAAAAAAAAGTTTTTTAGAATGAAATTTTTTATAATTGTAAAGAAAAAAATTAATTATTAAAAGAAAAGAAAAAATAAACAGATCATATAATATTCTAATAATTATTTAATATATAAATAAATTAATTATAAAATTAATTAGCATGTAATATGTCTAATAACTGTTAAGAAAATAATTTGTAAAATATCTTTATAGCTTTAAAAATATTTTTATTAAGAAATATCTTATAAAAATATATCTGCAATATCAGAAACATTTTTTACTAATAAATACCTTGTAAAAATACCTTTATAATTTTGCAAACTAAGATATATCTTGAAAAATACTTCTGTAATTTCAAAAATCATTTTTATTAAAATATCTTATAAAATGCCTTTCAGCTTAATAGTGTTATCCAACTATTGATTAAACAGACTGAAACATATAATTAATTGAGTAGTAGCAAGATTTAATTTAATCTTTATGATGATTAAGAGAGACTTTAATTTTATTTGACATTGGTGTTTTTTCATGACTAAGTTTTAGAATTGATAAGTAATAGACTTTCAATTCACTACGTTTGACTTGTAATTTTTTTTGACATTAGAAAAATACTTTAATGACATTACAATAGATATATTATAACTGAATTAGTGATGTACAGCTCAAGTATTTTACAATACTAACATTTAAGCTTGTTAATAACTCTCTAAATACAATTGATAACACAAAGTAATTGTTAATACTAAGCAATTTATTGATTTAAATAAGTTAGTGACATTAAACACAATTAATATAAAGTAGAATTTGACATAAAGTAAGGTAATACAAAATAAATTGCTTATATAAGACAATTTAGCAAAGAGTTTTATTAACTTATAAAATTAACTTCCTAAATTTTTATTGATATATAATAAAAAACTTAGCTTATTTATAATAAAATTTCTACATTAAATTGCTATCTATTACATAAAAATTAAGTAATAATTCTCTTATTTCTCTATGTAATTTTACTATAATTATTAAGTAATAACTATCTAATCACTATACAATATAATTATATTATTGTTTAATTATTACTACATGTTAATACTTACTTAGTTTTTAATTAGTTTTTTTTTAAAGTTTTTAGTTTAGAAGGTTATTATAAGCTAATGGATTATTTGTATGTTATAAATTCTTGTAGATCAATTTTTATGATCTACATCATTTACTATAAAAGATCATTTGAGTTACAATAGGTATTTTTACTTATAAAAATAGTTTTAAAGTTATAAAGATTATTGTTATAATTTTTTTAATAAAACCAAATCTGTAAAGTTATTTTACTAAATTTTCTTAATATAATCAAAACTATTAAGTAATTTATTAAGTTTTTCTTAGTAAAAAATCACTTCTAAACTTTTAAAGTAGTTGTTATTAAATTTATTTTGTAAAAGTTATCTTTAAAATTTTTAATATATAATACTAATGATTTTTTTAATTAAAACTTTAGAAATAAATTTATTTTAATATTTAATTATATAAATTAAAATTTTTTTATATTAGATTTGATTTAATTTGATTTGATTTGAAAAAATTAAATTAAATTCAATTGTTTTAATATTTAATTTAATTCAATTTTGAAAAACTTTAGATAATAATATAGCATAAATAGAGAATAATAATTTTATAAAACTAAAAATAAATTTTGTAAAAAATAGCATTTTTAGATAATTAATAAAAATGTTACATAAATTATTAATTGTAATCTTTGATACTAAAATAGTTAATATATATAAATAGTTAAAAAAAATCATAAGTTCAAATTCTAAAGAAATTATTATTAAATCTTATTAAATTTATCATATATCAGATAATTTAATAAAATAGATATTAGTAATAATAATGATAATTTTATAAAAAAAATAAGGATAAAATCATTAATATTAATAATTAAAATATTTTTTATTTTTTTTATTTGTAAATTTAAATAATTTTGATTTATTTATTTTAAGATTAATAACAAAATATTTTCTTATATTATAAAATTTCAGAAAAATGCTTATTTTTAGATTAAATATAAATGTAAAATTCTTATTTTTAAGGAATGTTTACTTTTAAAAATATATGATAATTATTATTTTTTACTTTTATATTTTTATTATTTTTTATAAGTTTATAAATATATAAATATATTATTAATATTATTACAGTTGGTTCTTTAATATTGCATTAAAATTATAAATAAATAAGTAATATAAGTGTTAAGTAAAAGATTAATTTTATAGTTAAAGTTAAGTAAAATATGCATATAGATTATTTATTTGATTATAAATAAAAAAATACTTCTTTATATTAGTGCTCTATACTATATAATATAAATGTTTTAATAAACTAATTAAACTATTCTAATAGAAAGACTTATTAGACATATTTCAAATACACTATGTTAACTAAATAATCTTTAGCTATATTTATATAAAATAATATATATTAAATTCAGTTAACAAAATAAAATTAATTAACTTAGTAAAAGAAATATAATAAAAAAACTAAAAATAAAATAAAATAATATAAACTAAGTAGTAAATTAAGTAAACAATATTGATGATTTACATCATTTAAATTATCATTCAAATAACCTTCATATAATAATATAAAGTATTTGCAATAAAAAGCCAAAAAAAAACAAAAAATAATATGATGCTAAATTTGAACATATTTTAGCCTAAAAATCATATTTGATATATAAAAGTAAAATTGAGTTTTCCTGGTAATTTCCTCCTTTTTATTGCAAAGATTCTATATCTACTCATTATGTTATCTACTCATTATATAAATATAATTCTATCTATAAATGAATAATATTAAAATTAATATATTACTGTAAATAGAATTTAAATTAATATATATATAGTTTATTTATCAAAAATAATAATACATATTAAAAGTTTTTTAATAGATTTGGAAAATTTAAAATTTTTAATTCCAGTTTCAAATTAATATTTATTCTTTATATTGTTTTTTTTATACTATATATAAGCTCTTTGCAGTAAAAAGGGAAAAAATATTAAATGATATTTTTTTTTGTCCACGTTAAAAAAATTTTTTTTTAGAACCTCCTCCCTTTCTACTGCAAAAGCGCCCATATATTTTTATGTATTGTATTTATTTTTTAATAATAAATATACTTTGTTAATTTAAATAAAAATCTATTATAATTCTGGTCGAAATTAGAATGTAACCGGATTACGAAATATTTTTATAATCATTACAAGTAGCATATGTATACTGTAAATAGCATATTAAATGATGTATCTATTGCAAAATTTATAAATATGTATTAGAACAAAGTTTAAAAAAAAAGTTTTAGTTCCAATTAAAAGATATAATAAGTTTTCGCTTATCAATTAAATTCAGGGATCATTGAAAAAAAAAATTTGTCGATGAATTTTCATTTACCGAAAACTTGTTTTTAATTAAGATGATTATTATTTGTCAAAATTAAATCGACCCACTACTGTAAATAAATAAAATAAATAACTCTTGCCTAAATTGTTTGACATCAAAACTACTTATTAATGATCTATAAATTTTCAATAAGATGAGATTTGATTTTTTGACCATTATAATCTTCAACCAAGAAGATTATGTGTAATTCAACTCAAAAAGATTGATCTTATTCACAATATGGTTCATGCATAATTGTTACTTTTTGCTCCTGGGTAACTCGACATTAAAAAATTTCCATCAATAATGGATTACATTCATATCACATGGTAGGGTCACATGGGCCAGGAACGCATGATCATAAACACGAGGATTTGATGACTAATACTGCGCCATATTCCATAAAGAGTCTTCTTCGCATTTTTAAGGGTTTAAGGGGGGTGGTAAAGCCGAATTTCACGATTACGTAAAAATGCAACTCCTAAATAATACTATTAAAACCCTTGAAATGTTTGTGACAATATTGAGTTCAAACAAAGAAAACAACTTAAATAAGTATGATAATAGAACATCGTGTCGATCCGAAAAAAATTTTGTGGGAAAACTTCAAAAAGGGGAATTGAAAGGTTCTTTTTTTTTTTTAAAAAAAAAAAAAAAGAAGATCGCGGCCGAGCCCGTAAAAATAGATAGTTTTGTCCGTCTTTTTCTTTCAGGAAAATCAAGAAAAAATAAATATTATTTAAATTGGTAATCCAAATAAAAAAAACTTTCATGCACATATGAGCCCAGGTGACCTTCTATATTTGGTAAAGACATGAATTTCATTGGTGGATGTTCCCAATTTATTAAAAATCGATGTTAAAAACTTTAAGGTTGTTTTCTCTTTTGCTTCATGAAAATCGAAACATTTGGTCATAATATTATGCTGTCCCATCATAATTTTAAATTCCAAGTCAGAAAATGAACGGACTATGAGGAATTTAACCATTATAATAATTAATCTGTCCCATTTAAGAACATAATTAAAAATTACTTCCTAAAGAGGATAGCATATATTTATCATCAGTTTTTTCCGCAATAAAAAAAATCTTTTTTTTTCACGAACAGTTCACCTCGCATATATCTTTTTTTATTTATTTGAAATTCATCAAATACAAACAAAATAATTGCTCGCATGACCTCACGATTTATTATTTTTTTTTCTTGTCAAACGTCATGCTTCAATTCATTTTCTTTGTACATGTATTTTCATTTTATTGTTTTTTTTTTTGAAACGGGACTTTTGATACGTGACGTACTTTGGGCCATAATTCTAATCATCACACATGTATTGAACGATCAACAATAAGGGGGAGGGTAGTTCATGCAAGGTGCTCCTATTACAAGGCGATAATCTCTGGTAAACCCTTTATGTAATAAATAATACCTGTATCATGTCATGTAATGCCATTGGATGTGATTGAAGAATAGCACTCTTTTTGAATATATTTGACACGTACGACGTCCCTCTGAACGACTTCTCATTCGTGAGGATCCCTCGTTACGTCAGGTGTCGTTCCACGCTGCCATAAACAATTATGGGGTTTTTGGGTTTGTCGATTAATAATTAATGACCCGTCTATGATGTTGATGATCATGTATATGAACAGTTACATATAACGTTTATGTTTAAATTACACCCAACATATCCATAACCGGTGATAAAATGATTTCAAATTCCAACAAGTTTTTTTTTTGAACGGTATCACAATTCCAACCAATAATGATATCATTGGTGGTAACGAACAAATCGAAGGATATCACCATTTTTTCATCACGATGAGATAATGAGGAAACCTTTTTCCGACATCTTATTAGTGATCACGATTGTGGTCGTCTTAAATCGAGATTAAATCAATCAATCAATCAATGGTACAAATGCAGGGATATAAAGTTGATTACTAAGGTCCCTTACATTAATGTGTAACCTGTCAAATATTATATAACCACATTCTGATTATTTAATCTTGAGAGAACTTGATATATGTATATTATCGTGGTGTTGTTTTCGTTTGAATGACCAAAAATAATCAATTTCTGACGATCAAATGTTTCCAAATCGGTGTTGGAGAAAAATAAAAAAATTAAACGTTAGGTAAGCAAACTGCTTTTTTATATGATTTTCTAGAAGTTTGCGCGATGTAAACACATCGGTAATGAGGTCACAATGACGTCACAAATCAAGAAGTTCAAATGAATGGTTCTTTTACGTAATCGAAGATTAGATTGAAATGATTAGATATTGATTTCTCGTGCCACCATGTCGTGTAATTTGTGATTTAATCGAAATTAACCGAAGATCTCAAAAATCCCACGACTCAATACTTAATTACTTCACACACTGACCATAAAGATCATCCCATCAAAATTTAATATAACCATATTATAACTGCCTTTTAAAGAATTTTTCCTTCAAAGGCAAGATGGCATTTGTTACAACATACAATTAAAAATAAAAGGTGTTTGACCGAAAATGATTGTGGTACAATGATAACTATACAGTAATTTAGGTCAGGAAACAATGGTTGGTGTGATGCTGTGTAATGTACGAGATGTCGTGTCACTCCCTCATCAACCTTTTGGATTTCTCTGTTGGAAAATTCGAGATGTAAAACTTTTTTAATACAACCGATCGGACCTTTGAAGGAAATCCATAGAGGAAACCATTACTATATTTAAAAAAGCACCCCAAAAAATCATCTTTTTGACTTCAAAAGCCAATCAACGTCCGGCATTTTTTTTTTTGTTGCTTTTTTTTTTTTTCCTTTAAGAAGAATTCGAGTGGATTGTTCACTATTTTGATGAGTGTGGGTCCACAACAACAAAAGGGTGATACAAGTTAATAATAAGTAAAACTAAAACAAAAAAAAACCGCGATGGGCGAGATTCTACACTTTTTTGGGAATTTTCAATTATTGTTTTCAGATACCTTAATTCTAAGTTTAGATGAAATTGGTTTTAAGGGGAACTCGGCCGGGTAATCATAAAGAATGAATGATGTTGGTTTCATCATTGTCAAAAACCGTTTAATGCTTTAAAAAAAAATGACGTAAACAGCAATAAAAGAAATCATCTACAATTATTATTATAAATAAATAAATTATTTTTATTATTTTTATTATTATTATTATTATTATTATTATTATTATTATTTATTACATAATTATTGATTACCGAATTCATAAATGGTGTTCCATTATATTTCTTTTTGTTTTGCAATTGGAACAAGGAGAAAACAATCATATAATAAATAATAATAACTGATAAAAAAAAAAAAAAAAAAAAAAAAAAAGAATGAAATGCAAGTTGACAAAAACGTTAGTGACATGTTTCAAAAATTTCTCCGATATTAATTTTTTTTTTTTTTTTTACCATTTAAGAAAACAAACACGATTTAAGGAGGTTACGATTGTCCTTGTGTTGTTAAAAAAATCATCCGTTCATTAAAAGACGTTGTTCTTAATTAAGGGGGAGGGAGGGGAAGTTTTGGCATGTTTCACATCAGAAAACCACCTTTCACCGTTGTGGTCATCAAGTATTATTTCTTTTCCAAAATGAAAAAAAAAGAGGGGATCGAAGAAATTCTGGGCAAGAGGGTGGATTAGCCACACCCCAACAAAAGCGACTCATTTTTTTTTTTAATTTTAATCGACAACAAACAAACACGGAAATTTTTACCTTACACAAAAGGGAAACGCCACAGATTTTAAAAACTGGATTATCTTTTTTAAAGTTTTCAACTAAACCAAATCCATCGAATTAATTTACCTTTCTTGTTGAATTATAGTATCATTATGATATATTACAACTTGTTACTTGTTTCATCTAATGTTTAAGTTTTAGAGGATTTCTTGGGTGATACCCCTCAAAAAAAAAAAAATCCAAAAGAGAAATTAATGAGCGAACCAACTAAATCAAGTTGAAAGATTTCTCAAAGATAAATCATAAAATGATAGTCAGATGAAATCCCACGTTTGACAAAAATAACGCACAATGGGATTTAACAGTCCTTCCAACCCATTTATGAGTTATTATTACGAAATATGACCTAGCATGTGCTTTCTCTAAACACGTTTGTTCTCGAAACATGACCGATATTACGATTTTAATTTCATTTCAAACAACAATCATGTTAGCATAACACGACGAGTATCCCCGTTTATCTATCATGTAATATTACAAAGCATAATAATCGACCGAATTATTTACGGTTATCTTTATTATTTATCATTAATTATTATTAAATTACGAACATTTTGCTTAGTGATTTCATCATGTAATCGGTCGATACCGATATTTTTTCATTAACATGACCATAATGGGTATGTAATTTTATTACTCTTTTTTTGAATATTTAATATATTACACAATGACGAAGTACAAAGGCTCGATTTAGAATTAAATTGTCAATGAAGGTTATTCCCAATTCTTTTTATTTTTTTAATAAGCACAAAAAAAGGAAATTATTATGCTAATTTAAGGAGGTATTGAATGGGATTGTGATGATATGGTGACAATGGTAGGAATTTTAAATATTGTTACAGTTTACTGCGGAACCTCATTATGTTGTGCAATCCATTTTACCTTGAAGTGTTCCGTTATTCTCTCCCTAATATGAGAACTCCCACGATCATTGTACGGATCCTTTTCGATTTAATGGCAAGTCGTCTGAGAAAAAAAAATTGTTTTTTTCCATGCGATTTTAAATTGATTTTCTGTTGGATTAGTTTGGTTTTCACGCGTGAGTAAAAAATGATTTTAAATTTTTTTTTTAAGAATGGTAATTAACTTGTTGAGAGTTAGAAACATGTCACCTGTATAAATATCGTGTGATGTTGTTATTATGTTTAATGTAAGCAATATGATGGTGGTACGATAGTTCTTCAAACCGTTAAATAAATTGGTGATAAGCATTTTTTTTTCGGGTATTCCTACGACTATCCTTTCTTTGTTCCTCTTTTTTTTGTTTAATAATAAAAAAAAAAAGATGAAAAGTAAAAAAAAAAAAATCTGATAAAAGTGTCGAGAAATGGATCGGCAATACATGATACCTTAGCAACCGAATGACATGACATGCATGGTATATCAAAAAAAAAAAATTAATAAAAAATCAACGTAGAAGTTAGGTCAACAACCAAGCACCAATCGCCGAGCGGAATTCCTTATGGCACGATGTATGGTTAGTAATAGTTAATATGTAAGCAAAGCATGATGCCCTGGATTATGTTTTTTTTCCCCACAAGTCTATCCCGCCGAATTAAGGTAAAGCTCAATTTTTGCTGCGCATTCTCGTTCCTTCGAAAAAGTAAACAATACACGCACATTGTCCATTGGGATTTTTTGAAACAATGTTCAAATTCTGTACGTTTTGAAAGTTGTCCTTTTTCTTCGTATTTATGAGATGGATGAGAAAAAAAAGGGGGGGGAGGGGAATTATTTTTATTTTTATTTTTTTTTTTTTTTCTTCCCTTTTTTTTTTCCTTCTTTTTAATAAAATTCCAAAAATGGCAATCTATTAAACTGTTACCACTTCTCCAAAAAAAAAATATTTTCTCATGTCAACATTTATTTTAATCATCTCCCACCCTCACCTTTTTTTCTTTTTAGTTAATCTCATGGTACATGAGGGGATCGTCATGTTCCGCTTAAACAAAAAAAGATTTTTTTTTTCTCTTTTGCATATAATCAAACATAGCTAAAAATTGTTTGGAAAAATTGGATAATGTATATGGTAGGATAGTTCTTTTAGATGAAAATTCGTGTCACCTATAAAGCATACAATACATTTTAGTTTGCGATTGAGGAAAAAAAAATTATTTCCTTTTTTTTTTCTTTAAAGATAACGATTTCCCATAAAAAAAAAAAAAATAAAATAAAATAAAAAGAAAATAATAATAAAAATAATGGTTCAACAAACCGTGTTTCTCACTCCCTCATTTGTCAATTATTATTTACCAATTTATATATACTATACAGAAGATACAGTCATCCCCCTTTTTTAACGATGATGAAATTTTTTTTTATCCTTTGTACCATGACAGAGTATTTGTTTGAAGCATGAAATCCCATTAAAAAATAACACATAATTTATCTTACTTAATAAAGTTTATTAAAACTATTTTGATCAGATAATTTATTTCGCATAAAAGTTTAGCGGGGTGACACAACACTCACCTTAAATATGTAAAAAGAGGTCATACCTTCCAAAATAACATGTTATTTTTATTATCAATTACATTGTTATAATTTAAAGTTTTTTAATGATGTCATGATCAATCACGGTGAATTCGCTGTGTTGGAAATTACATCAACATTCAACCTTTTGAGGTCGCAGCATAAAGTTTTATGTTTCATTAGTGACATAATCCTGACATAACCGTTTCACCACTTCCTTTAACCGAATATTTTGTCCAAACATCATGTTGTTTAAAGAGAAATGATAATAAAATCAATAACAATAAAAGGTATATACATATAAAAAAAAAAAGCGGGAAATGGGAAATATCAAGATGCAAGATGAAAATACCAGAAAGAAATGGAAAGGGAGGGAAATGGCTAGTGGTGGAATGGATTAGATTGAAGATTCCTGTCATTACACAAATTTTCTATTTATAAAATAGATAAGCTCAAATATAAAAAAAAAAAATTTAGAGTAGTTGAAATCGTTTGATTTTATTGAAAGATTTTTTGATTTTGATATGATAAAGCAAAGCAGATTAAATGAATTGTATGACAGAAAAGTTTTTTGGAAACAAAGAAAAAAGGTGACGAGAAAATACCCGTGGGTTCTACGTTACGCAATTTACGCAAACATCACATTTGTTACAATCTTTTTATGGTGTTTTTTTTTAAATGACATATTCGCCAAAAAAAAAAAAAAAGATCCCAAAAAAAAAAATAATCACAATAAAACAAAACAAAACAAAACCATCACTGACCAAACGGGACAAAGATGACGATCCGAAATCGATTTACTTCAAAGTGTTACATTCAAACTTCTAGAGGAAAGGGAACGTTTAACCAAACAAACGATTTCACAATATAAATGATAACAATGCAACGAAAAAAAAAAATTTATAGACAAACATTGGCAAAGAAAATAAAAGTTGTAATGGTATTTCTCAGCTGCGGAAATTTTCCCAGGGTGGCATGATCCTTGACCTCCTTGACCCGTCTCCCCGAATTTTAAATTCTAACTGGTTTTCACCGGTTTGATGCAAAAAAAAAATCACCCCAAAAAAAATAAAATAATAAAAAATACATCTCGCTAAACCCAAATCATGCGGGTAGTAAAAATGAATTGACAACCATTGCGTTGTAATTTAATTCCAAAGGCAAATCGATTTATTCATGAATGGGGAAGTCGCTGCAATGATTAGCTTTGGATAGTCTTATGTCATTATGTTAGCATCATTTAGGTCTAACACAAAGCGACCGAAATCGTAAGTAGCTCATCGAAAATGACGTAATACAAACGATCTTCAAAGAGATTCCATTTGAGAAAAGTCGTGTGCGAATTTTCCTTTTTTTTTTTGGAGAGAGTGGTCTCTTAAAAAAAAAAAAAAAAAAGAAGGGACCTTTTGGTCCTATATTTGAATAAGTCTAGAATGATTGGAAAAAGAGATATGCGCTTACATATGTCGTCTGTCATTTACCATTAATTTTTAAGCTTTTTTTTTTTCTTTCTTAAAAAAAAAAGAAAAAAAAAAAAAAAAAACAATAAACAAAGGAGCAATAATTTAATGGATGCTAGTTTTAAAAAAGAAAAAAAAAATTTTTTTTTTGTTTATCATTTATTTTGATATCTTTTTTTTTTGTTTTATCGTTTAAATAAGTTCATGCACAATCGCAGGGGCCCTTTTCCCTTTTCGTTGGATTCAGGACTTGAAACCTGTTTTCCTGGATAAAAACTAGGGAAAATTCCTGATTGTATGCGTTTTATCAAAGACTTATTTTTCGCATTATCGGTTATTAAAGACTGTACTGCGGGTGTGTTTTCCGGAATCTGTTCTTGTATTAAAAAATTTAGATGTTGGTTTGTTCAACATGAAAAAAAAATTTTTTTTTATTTCATTGCATTCTTGCGAGAAAGAAAATTGGGTTTCTGCTTTGAATGTCATGTTCGGTGCATACCGTGTCAATAAATTTTCGTCTGATGATCACGTTTCGTTACTTGTACGCTTTGTTGGAATATGGAAAGATATGTGACATTCTTTCAATTTGCTCTTGTTTCCCCAACCTTTTTTTTCATTCTTAATTCTGATGATTCACCATTCCCCTTTTAAGTTTTGAATGTCGCATATTGCATGGTTTGTTTTATTTATTTATTTATTTATTTATTTTTTTTTTTAAAAAAAGAGTAAAATAAATTAGCTTCGAACATAAAGGAAAAGAACGAACTGCATAATTTATAGGACGCTTTGGAGCCGTCCACTCATGGGCCAGATGTCCCGGTAGAGCAAAGAAGTTCGAACGAATTTTTTTTCTTGCATGTTAAACTCTTGAGATGGTAGATTCTTTATCATGCGCTTAATAATAGGAATAAATTTGTTGTTTTTCCTTTTAATTTGTAAATGGTAAACAATCTTTTCGGCCTTGGGAAATTTCCTTATAGTGCTCTCGTTCAATCTTTATACGTAACGATTTCTATGGAATGACGATAGGCGGGACACAGACTTTCTAAAAATATCTAATTATGTCATATTCTTTTGACCTTTTTTTTTCTCGACCGAAATGAAAAAATAAAAAAGGTCCCCAAAAACCTGTCACTCCTCGATAATGACCCCATTTTGATGTTATGAAGTCATTCTTTTGATTTTTCTTTTACAATAGGAAATATGTAGATGTTCACAATAGAAGAACACAATATAATAATGTATATTGTATTTGTATACATTATATATACGTATTTTTTATATCACCGAATAAAAGTTTTTTTAAAATATTATATTAGTATGATTAATGATTTTTAATATATATATATAAATATATTTGATGTTCTGTATCCCCATTCTATTATACGATATCCCTAAATCACACATGTACAAAAATATACTAGTTCAGTCATCATTGAGAAATTTTCTAAAATATATATAATGCCCAAAACCTCTTTATCTTTCTGTTCAAAAAAATTTTTTTTTTTTTAAAACAAACAACAAATACGAAAGCAATTATTACCTCTTTGCAGCTTATAAAAAAAATCATCATATTTATTTTCTTTAAAAAAAAAAATTATATATATATAATAATAATATTTATTACATATATATATAATATATTTATTTATATCTAAACACACGTACATACATATTGTATAAAAGGGTTATTGTATATATAAAAAAAAAAATTATTTATATACAATCAATTTTTTTTACAATAATCAATTCTACATTTATTTGACTCTTTATTGTATAAGATAATCCGTTATTTCACATCTATAAAAACTTGAGACTAGTATATAAACGCAGTAAATTTCCCCCACTACCTTTTTTTTCCTTCAACAACAAACAGAACCGTTTTTTGTTCTCAATCAAAAACTAATTTTTTTTTTAAAAAAAAAAAAATTCCTTCAACGATTTTTTCGTTCTTGTTGAACAAGGTCCTTTTTTAATATTCAAAAAAAAAAAAAAAAATCATCGTAATTATATATATACTTATATATATATATATATATCACAACAAAAAAAAAAAGTATATATATATATATTTATTTATTTATCTCTCGTATTATAGCCTTTTGCGTAAGAAAATTTCGATATTTCATACGAATAACAAAAAAAAAAAAGAGAAAAGTGTGCGATTCTTATTATATTCTTCCGACGAATTTTTAACGTCTCTTTTACGACTTTTATTTAAAAAAAAACTTATGACCGCTATCGCTGGTAACAACTATTTACTCACCATGCCTTATATTGAACAACAGCCATACGAAAACATTAATTTGTGTGGAAATAACGGTTACGACCCGATAAGCGAATACGCTGCTCAAGCTCAATTTGTCAAGACCGAATTTTATCAAACCCAGAAACAAAACCAATTTCAACCACATCATCTACAACAACCACCACAGCAGAATCCACAACAACAACAACAACATCATCATCATCATCATTCCCATCATCCTCATCATCCACAAGAACATTTCACATATTTGCCAATGTCTGGTTCAACTTCACCTCAGCAATCTGTTCCCACCTTATTATACTCGCAAAATTCTCAACCACTCGATCATTATGAGAACAACAACGATAACAAACCCGTTCAAATTAAATCCGAGTATGATTACCGATACGACATCGATTCTACCGTTTCAAGTGTAGAATCATCCCCTCACATCGTTGCTGCAAATGAATTCGAAACATCATCTCAGTTCACATACAACTACCCACCTCCTCTTTGTGATGATTCTTCCAGTGAACCTTTATCTTCCGCCACTTCCCCCACTGTACCCACGGGTGGTGATCTCGCCTTTGCCTTGTCTCCAGACTCCCTTTCCCAGTATTATAGCATTATTCAAAGCACTCCCCTCGATCAAAATTCCGGGGTACAACCTTCCTTTACTGATCAAATGAGGTTCATCATTTACGAACCTCGTCAAAATGAAAACGTTTCACTTATCAATGCTCCCAATAATTATCAGATGCCAATGTGGCAGATACCTTTACCGACTTCAGGTATCGACAATAGACCAATCACGACAGTAGCTTCCACTCAGAGTTCTCTAAATCTACCTTATGATTACTCCCAAAATCAAGTATTGGTAAATCCCGCACAGATAAATCCTCTTCCACCGGTATCATCATCATCATCACAACAACAGCAACCCCCTCAACCTCCTCAAACGCAACAGCAAGGTCAACCACAATCGCAGCAACAGCAACAACAGCAACAGCTCATCAAGTGCCCGCATGAGGATTGTCCAAAAACCTTTAGCAGATTATATAATTTAAAGGCTCACTTAAGATCTCACTCCCCTGCTCGACCATATCAGTGCCCAATGTGTCCAAGATCATTCTCGAGGAAGCATGATTTGCAACGACATATTCGAGTTCACACCGGTGTTAAACCTTATCAATGCCCATGCTGTCGAAAAGCGTTCGCTCGTACAGATGCACTTCGACGTCACTTTAAAATGGAAGAAACTTGCAGGAATTCACCAGAGGTTCAAAACATGAAGACGAGAAGAAGATACTCTGAGATGCATTAATCAAAATCTACCTTTTATTCATTCTCTATATTCTCTGAATATATTGGGTTTGGAAAAGAAAAAAAAAACAGCACAATTTTTGAATTATTTCGGTTAATCGGATTATAGTGGTAAAAAGACGTGGTATAATCAAACAAACATCATGTGGAATTTAATTTTTTTTTTCTTTCCTCAATACGATCCCAAGGAAAAGAACAATAATTTTTTTTTAATCGCTTGTTATTTTTTTTTCGTTTCGATTTCTTTATTTTTATTATAAAATTTGTATAAAATTCCCAAGAAAAATAATATTTTCAATTGGATAATATTTTTTAAAAAGACGAGCGATACATTTCATTGGACTTTGTGCAAAAAAAAATGAAATTTTCATTTTATTAGTATTATTTTTATATATATATATATATATATTCGCATTTTTTTTTTGATACATTTTAAAATCAAAAAAAAAAAAAATCAAAAAAAAAATCAAAAACTCCCCCATCATCTTCAATATGGACAATAAGAATTCTTTTACGATTTTCAATTTTATTCATTTTTTACAACGCGAAATTTATTTCTTTTTCATTTTTCTCCATCACTTTTTTTGTATATACAATTAGATTTACCAAGATTTATATGGCGATAAGAAACTACGATCAAACTTTTTTGCTTTTTACGAAATCATTTTTAAATATATCTATCTATATAGTAAAAAAAAAAAAAAAAAAAAAAAAATATATATATATAATAATAAAAAATAAAAATAAAATCCCCTTTCAAAAAACCGAACATTTACTTTTTTTATAACTATAAAAAAGGTAAATTTTTTATTTCGATTAATAATATAATAATAAAAATTGAGGAAAAAGCAAAAAATTTTGCTAGAGTTTTGCGGAAAATACACAATCATAAAATTTTTTTACAAGTGGTTTTTTTTTGATAAAAATTGATTGTTCGACGAGAGCACAAGTAGTAAATTCAAATGTTTACGCGTCAAAAATAAATTACATAATATTTTTTTTTGATGTTTCGCGGAAACTTTTTCTCAATTTGGGTTTTAAGATCTCCAAAAAACATGACACAAACGCTCTGAAAAAAAAACGAGAAATAGAGGATTGATTCAATTTCGAATTATTATTATTATGCAAAACCTCGTGGTTTTTTTACGTTGTCATTCTATTTTTTTTGAATTTTTTTCCCACACTTTATCGGTAATAAATAGTAAAGTATAAACGTGTAATATTTACTCATTTCACATTTCGCCGCAGTTTTCCCGCCATTTTTCGCTGGAAAAAATTGTAAGAAAAAGATTCAGATGATGTGTTCCATCATTTTCACAATAGACAATAGTTTGGAATAACGTGTCACGTCAAAAAAAATGCATGGAAATGGTGAATGGAATATCATGTGAAACCTTATTAGTGAAACGCAGTAAAAGAGGTAAACAAGAAAATAAAAAAAGTATTTTTTTGATAGGAAAGAAACATGTGCTTTGTCCTTTCAATAAAGGAATACTTCAAAGTTTCAACTGTACAATTTTTATTTTTGAAAAATTAAAGGGATCAATAGGGTCTACTTTAATTTACCGAAGATTAAATTTCCAATTTAATTATACAAAGGGATTTACCTTTACCGACGGACGGAGTTTCCCATCATTTAACCGAATCAACAAACAATTAGATCTTTTTTTGTTATTATAATAGTTTATATACATTTTGACACATTTCATCTCCTTGTGTCTAAAAAAAAAGGGTTGTCCGTATTAGTGAATAAAAACTCAAAATTTTCACGCATTTCCCCACAAAAATTTACACCATTGTTTATTGGAAAAAGTTTTTTTTTTTTTTTTTGAAAATTTGTCATATTATTTGATTATTTTATTTGTCATCCAGATATAGATGTCAAATACATGAGGGGAATGAAATAAGGTTTTTTTAAAAAAGAAAAGAAAAAAAATTATTATTATGAATTTGTGTTTTATTTGAAACAAGAGACAAAAGCAAGAAATGTCACAGGGGACAAAAAGCAAATAAAGAAAAAAAAAATTTTTTTTTCTTATGCCAAGTTGAATGAGAAAATATTACACGTGAATTTTCTTGGGTTTTCCTTAACATTGTTTTAAAAAATTTTTTCATTTACTAAATTTATTAAAATAATTATTTTACTCGGAGATTTCCTGACTAATTAATTGGATTATGCATCTCTTTTTTCAAAGGTGACGGTTTTAGGTCTTTTTTTTTTTCGTATAAATCACCCGATTTATTTATAGTTATAAGTGCAAGAGGGTCACATAAAGAATGCCCAAAATTAGAAATTCCAGGGGCTGCCAAGAAAAAATGGGGTTGGGTTGTAGCGGTTCCCCACTAGGATTCTGAGTCATTAATAATCTTTTTTTTCCTTTTCTTTCCTTTATTTCCTTTCTTATGATTATTGAATTTAAGAACTTTTTAGTCTCAGAGAATTGGAGAATACGTTTTAAAAATACTTTTTACAGTTTCTTATTATGTTATCATAAAGTCTTATTATTAAAGAAATCTTATTCCTTTTAGCTGAAAAAAAAAAAAAAAAAAATCCCGAGAATCGCACACAAAGTTCACAGTAACGGACGACACATACCTTAAGGTGAGGTTTAAAGCGTTAATATGGTTGTATTTCTATAGGTCTTATACGTTAAGAAGTACGCTTAATGAAACTTTGGCTAATAAACAATTTTTTGTAAGTTCCTACGATAGATACCTGAATTGGGGCAATTGAGGCAGCGGAAATTTATTTTTGTTAGGTGACAATCTTGTAATTTATTTTTTTCTTTTTAAATAAAAAGAAACCATTTGAACTTTCATCATTTATCACGTGTTTTTGATTGGAATTACTCTTGATCAAAAAACTTTGGTTAAATCTCTCCCAGCCAGCCAACTTACAACAAAATATTTGTTAAATATTAAATCTGATAAGGCAGCAATACAGCTTTCCTTGTTCTGATGCTTGCCATAAAATTATAAAGATGATTTGAAGTCCAAGAAGTCTATGAAAAATGAATCAAATCGTTCAATAAGCAAATATGAGGATTACAAAATTATACATGTTTTCTTTTTAAATACCACCAAAAGTTGCATCCATCTCTTGACGTAAAACATCATTGTATATTCGTGCTTTACACTTTAATTTCATTTGTACCTATCGTAGAAATATCAAATATATATATAATTTCACTTCTCTTTGCACATGACATGCTTCGCAACGTCTTTATTGCAACCATTTATTTTTAATAAAATAAGCACAGAATTATAGATATTTATATTATTAAATAGTAGTTTTAATATGTTAACTGGCATGTTTAATAGCAGAATTAAATATATATATCACTTGTATATTTAGATGAATTGAGGAGTTATATTTAAAAGTATAAGAAGAATTTTAATAAAGAATGATTGATCTTTATTATTTAGTAAAACAAATTTAAAAGATCATATAATATATATATATATAAGATTGAAACATAAATATAATTCTTATTATTAGGAAAAGATATTTATTACAATTAAAAATAAAGTAATTTTGATATCATCATGATTTTATTTTAATATACTGTATTTTAATACTAACTATATTAATTTTAATGATAATTAATTAATGTTATCAATTAGAATTAAATTAATATTTAAATTTTTAAATCTTTTGTTATCAATAAATAATTTATTTATCAAAATTACAGATTTTATATAATTGTATAATTGTATAATTATAAAATAAATAATATAGCTTCTTAAATTTATTTATCAAACATTTAATATATTAAAAGAAGTTAAAATATAAGTTTGTATATAAAATTATATAAGTTTATATATAAGTTTGTATATAAAATTATATAAGTTTATATATAATTTTGCAATCATAAGTTTATAAGTCTTATATTTAGTTATATTTTATAAATCATATAATTTATTTTATATAAATATATGTAAAACTAGAAAATGGTTTCAGAAACATTGTTAAGTCTGAAATACAAGTATAAAGAAAGAGACTACTCACGTATCAATTCAATTTTTAAGCAGACAGATAGACAGATATCATAGATATCATGATATTTTTATTATACTAAGAAATGAGAACTGTTGCTAAGACTAGCTTGTGTAATGAAAATGACCAATTATATATCGACTCAATTTTTGAGTGAGCAGAATCGAAATACCATATGTTCTAATATATATAGTCTTACACTTCATTCTAGACAAATTATAAGTTTATATAAACTTATATAAATGATATAAGTTTTAAATACTAGGGAATAAGAACTGTTGTTAAGTAAAAAGTTTATATAATAAAAATAACCAATTATGTATTGACTCAAGTTTTGAGCAGGTGGAAATTGAGACAACATGTGTTATAATATATAGTCTTATACTTCGTTTTAGACTAATTAATCTTTTTAACATAAAAATATTTATATTAATTAGAATTGAATCAGTGTTAGTAAAATGATCTATATATTAGTTAATAGATTAATCTTTGCAATCTTTGCGATTCTCAGTCAATAATTTGAAGATTGGTTTAAACTGATTATCAAATCTATTTTTTATTCAATATAAATACAATTTTACAATACAAATTTAAGTTTATATTTCAGAAATGATTAAATATTTTTAAATCCCTTTATAGCTAAATTTATCAAAACTTGTTGATTAAAAATTAAAAAAAATATTTTCATTAAAATATAAATATACATTTATAATTATTATAAAAAATAAAATATTCATAAAAAAGTATTTAGATCTATATTATAAAATTTACAAAAAATTTTATTATTATAATAAATTTTGAAATTTAGTTTTACATTTTTCTTAAATCATATTTGTAATATCTAATCTAACAGTTGCTAAATCTAATTTAATTATTTACTCTGTAAGTAATATCACAAGTTGTTTAAAGATATTTTATTTATAAAAGAACCATCTTATATAAATAACTTAAATGAGTTAACTTAATAAATTTGATTATTATTAAAAGATATATATTATCAAGTA